TATTAAAAAGCAGAGACATTACTTTGCCAACAAAGGTCCGTCTAGTCAAAACCATGGTTTTTCCAGTAGTCAGGTATGGATGTGAGAGTTGGACTATAAAGAAAGCTGAGCGCCGAAGAATTGACACTTTTGAACTGTGGTGTTGGGGAAGACTCTTGAGAGTCCCTTGGACTGCAAGGAGATTCAACCAGTCCATTCTAAAGGAAATCAGTCCTGAATATTCATTGGAAGCACTGATGCTGCAGCTGAAACTCCAATATTTTGGCACCTGATGTGAAGAACTGACTCATTAGAAAAGACCCTGATGCTGGGAAAGATTACAGGTGGGAGGAGAAGGGGAAAACAGAGGATGAGATGGTTGGATGGCATCACTGACTCAATGGACTGGAGTTTGAGTAAGCTCTGGGAGTTGGTGATGGACAGGGAAGCCTGACATGCTGCAGTCCACGAGGTTGCAAAGAGTCAGACACGACTGAGCGACTGAACGGAACTGGTCATAGATTAAAAAAAAAAATCTGCCCTCAAAATTACTTTTACTAGGTAAGCAAGCATCATCTGTTTTTAAGTAGGGAAACAAAATCAAGTGCTTGCTCAATGTCACTCAGTAAGTGTCACCAGTGTCACAGGTAAGCAGTATCTCCCAAATTTGAATCCAGAAATTACAACTCTTCCATGGTTTTAGTATTATATATGATTTTAATGTGATATGACTTAATTATTTTAAAATCTTGATTAGAGGTGGAAAGGTAAAAATATAGAAATAGGAGTCATGCTTCTGATATAAAGAGAAAAATAGTGATTTTAAGGGTCATTTTAATTTATTGGTAGATTTTACAGCACAATCACTTTCTAACAAGGTCACCACAACAGTCTCACATTCCAAACCAAGTATAAATAAAAGAAAGTTATTCTTTATGTTTCTCAACTCTATAAAATTTCTCAAATAAGGAAGAGAATTCTTAAACTGAGAATAGTCATTATTAGTTGTCCAAAATGCAAATGGATAATCAGAGGATTCCAAGCTGATAGAATATATGATTTGTGTATGTCCTCTATTTCAACAGGTGCTGTGTAGCATTTCTAGGCATATATAATTAATATTGAAAATACGTTCTAAAGATTGTAGATTTAAAATAGTTTAATGAAAGCAAGATTTATATTTTAATAACAGGTCATTTGTTTTATTGTCTCCATAATTTCAGTGTTTCTTTGTTTACTATATATTTATACACCACAACAGTCTCACATTCCAAACCAAGTATAAATAAAAGAAAGTTATTCTTTATGTTTCTCAACTCTTAAAATTTCTCAAATAAGGAAGAGAATTCTTAAACTGAGAATAGTCATTATTAGTTGTCCAAAATGCGAATGGATAATCAGAGGATTCCAAGCTGATAGAATATATGATTTGTGTATGTCCTCTATTTCAACAGGTGCTGTGTAGCATTTCTAGGCGTATATAATTAATATTGAAAATATGTTCTAAAGATTGTAGATTTAAAATAGTTTAATGAAAGCAAGATTTATATTTTAATAACAGGTCATTTGTTTTATTGTCTCCATAATTTCAGTGTTTCTTTGTTTACTATATATTTATACCATTAAATTGAAGTTAAAATCTACATATACATATCTTTTAGAGAAATACATTTATTGCCTTGGTCTTTGCTCAACAAAGGATATGTTTATGAAGTTAGGACTTGCCACTGTGGAAAGAATATATCTAATTGCATACAAGTTTAACAAATAAAAGAAGCCACTAGGAAGAAAATTGATTCATCAAAATTTAGTCTTCAGTGTTTCTTGAAATTCCACCTGGAATTGTAGCCATGAGTTATGTATTACCAAATGAAACTCTCAAACATTCTAATTTAGATGCAAAGCACTAACTTTAGGATTGATAAATGTTCTGTTGCATACTATTTAAGTGAAAGTATGGCTCAACAGTAAAGAATCCTTCTGCCAGTGCAGGAGACACAGGTTCTACCCCTGGGTGGCAAAGATGCCCTGGAGAAGGAAATGGCAATCCACTCCAGTATTCTTGCTTGGAGAATCTCATGGACAGAGGAGCCTAGTGGGCTACAGTTCAGGGCATAACAGATTCAGACATGATTGAGCAACTCGGCACCCAGTATTCTTGCCTGGAGAATTCCATGGATAAAGGAGCCTGGCAGGCTATAATATAGTCCATGGGGTGGCAAAGAGTTGGACACGACTTAGTGACTAAACCACAACAAATATGACATTGCTAATAAAAATGTATTTTAATTTATATAGTAATAAAATAATAGTATTGTATAGCACATGGAACTCTGCTCAATATCATGTAGCAGCCTGGATGGGAGTGGGGTTTGGCAGAGAAGGATACACATATATGTATGGCTGAGTCCCTTCGCTGTTCACCTGAAACTGTCACAGCATTGTTAATCAGCTATACCCCAATACAAAATAAGAAGTTCAGAAGCAAAAAACAGAAAGATTATAAATAAAAGAGGAAATCAATATGTGCCTTTATAGTACCATCTGTGTTACAAAAAGGTAGGCTTGAATTTTTGAAATCGTTCTTCTGGTTCTTAATATATAGAAGGCATAGCTTTTAGATACCATGTCGGGGTTGGGGACGGATACATAGGTGAACAAACGCATAGTCCTCTCTCAAGGCATTACTCGGGTTCACGGTTGAGGAACAGGCACATGCTATGGGAGCTAAGAAAATGAAGAAGCTACTTGGTTGAAAAAAAAAGAAGAAAACTGCAGAGAAGGCTTCAGAAAGGAGGAAATACTTTACACATGAGAAATTTCAGCAGAGGAAATACCATGTGTAGAGTCATCGAAGTAGAAATGGCTGAAAGCTTTGGGGAAGAGCAGGTAAGTTGACTGCAAGTGATGTCTGACTCAAACACAAATTGAAGCTAAACCTGACAGAGCTTTATAATAACCACAAATATCTGAGCTTTAGTCTTTTGAGCTGAGGAACCTCTGAAGAGTTTTGAATAAGAGAATCACAGGTCAGTGTTGTTTTGGGAAGTTGCATAAAAGATGGTTTGAATGTAGAGAAAGGTTGCCTGTAGGGCTATTGCAGTGGTCTTAGTGGGATAATAAGTCTTCGTTTTTAAGAAAGTTGCAGAAGGAAATGGGTATGAGAAACATCATATCATTTATAGAACCTGACAATTGATTGGACACAGAGCATTAATAAATATAATAACCAGGAAGATTTTCAGATTTAGGGAAATTATGAGTTTGCTTTTAGATGTTAAGTAGTTGTTACCTTTGGGACAATCAAGGAGTGAATATTTCCTGAAAATCTAAAAAAAACACCCTTTTAGATCATAGGTTGAAATAGAGCCAAAGAAACAGATTTTTAACATCAGAACATACTTCTTACTTCACAGAAACACAGTTTAATCTCAAATATATCAAGCCCTAGTTCTGAATTCATGATCTGAAATATTCATATTTTACAGTATACACATGAACACGGACATACATATGAAATTATAGATTTATTGGTATTCTTTTAGAGATTGTGTTTAAACATAGTGTTAATGCTCAAATAACTTATGTCCCATATATATATATGACTGTGTGTGTTAGCAGATCTTTTACTGTTTTAATTAAAATTCTTAACAAAGAAAGATTTTTTTCTCCCTCTGAGAGATTTAAGCAATTTTGTCTAATTGTTCCTTATGTTAAACTACCATATTATAAGCTTCTTTGGAATAATAAAATAGTAGTGCAGTTATCCTCTTAAGGATCTCTAGGTTGTTATGCCATTACACCTTGGTGGCATTCTGCTGACTACAGATTGGTAAATGAGAGGGGATAACATTAAGATAGTTTCTTTTACACTGTTTCATAAAAGCATTACCAGTATGTCATTTAGTAAAATGTTTATGCTATTAAAAATTCAAATATAAGGAATTCAATATAGTCTACCTCAGCATTACAAAGAGGACTTGTCAACTATCAATCAAGTGCATAAAACAGAGCGAATTCATTTGTATGCTATTTATTTGAACTAGATCTCTAATAAGCCTCTTCCACTAATTGGACTTAACATTTATGTTGCTAAATGAGAAGCATTTTGGCTGCTATATAGGGTGGTAAGACTTACCCAATGGAATAAACAACTAACATCTGTTATCCTGTCCTGCTCCAGCTTGGCTTTTACAAGTTAAGGATATCAGCCCTGAAGACAAGGTTATCAAATATGTGAATCTCTGGCATACCCGCATTTATATGAAGGCAAAGAAATAGCACATCATGAGTAAAGACCAGCTAACCAAAAGATACTGAGTACAGCTAGTCTATTTTCTTTTAACCTTTAAAAGCCTTACAACCTTAAGCAAAAACTAGTGGAAATTAAAATTTCTGTAAAATAACTCTTTATAATTAGTGTCACTTTTTTGGTTAGCATTTTCCAACATACATTTTCCAATATACAAATTGATGCTGCTAGTTGTTCAGTTCAGTTCAGTTGCTAAGTCGTGTCCGACCCTTTGCGACCCCATGAACTGAAGCATGCCAGGCCTTCTTTCCATCACCAACTCCCGGAGTTTACCCAAATTCATGTCCATTGAGTCGGTGATGCCATCTAACCATCTCATCCTCTGTCGTCCCCTTATCCTCCTGCCTTCAATCTTTCCCAACATCAGGGTTTTTCCAAATGAGTCAGTTCTTCGCATCAGGTGGCCAAAGAATTGGAGTTTCAGCTTCAACATCAGTCCTTCCAGTGAACACCCAGGACTGATTTCCTTTAGGATGGACTGGTTGGATCTCCTTGCAGTTCAAGGGACTTTCAAGAGTCTTCTCCAACACCACAGTTCAAAAGCATCAATTCTTTGGTGCTCAGCTTTCTTTATAGCCCAACTCTCACATCCATACATGTCTACTGGAAAAACCATAGCCTTGACTAGACAGACCTTTGTTGACATGATAGAAGTTAGGTTAACTGTAATTGCTTTTATAACAAATTTATACTTATTTTCTTTAAAAAGAAGCTAAATTCAGATTTGGCTGAGCTTCGAAAAGAAAAAGAAGATTTACTAAAGACAGTAGAATCTTCATCTGAAATCACATGTTTGACTGAAGAAGTTGCCCGGGTAACAGTTCCACGGATACAGATTACATCACTTGGCCCTTCAAGGGGCATGGATTTGGAAATGAAGCAGTTGCAGTGTAAACTAAAGGTGATTATAAATTTTATTAAAGATGAAAGCATGTATTAAGTTATTTAAAGATATGTTTAAAGATATCCTTAAAGAATATTTTAAGGATATCACTAAAGAATCCTTAAAGATATGTTTCTGTCAATTCTAATTTAACTTTACTAATAAAGGTAAATTATGGTATAAATAATCCTTAAATTATTAATACTACACTTAACCTCATCTTTCTATTTTAGCGTGGTAGATTCTTATCTGGTAATTCATAATACTATTCTCTGAAAAAATAACAAGACACTATGAGATCCTGACTTAGGAGATGATGGAAACTGGCCATTGCCATTTATTCCACTGTTCAATTCCTCTCTGCCTGCCACTGAACAGAATTATTTTCAAACATGTAATGTATCAACATAAATAGATTTGCTTTCCTGTACATATTTGCTACTATTTTAATTTGGTGGTTCTTTGTTGGAGATGGGGATTTAGAGGAAAAGAGAAGAGGCACAGAGCAAAGGTGAGTTGGTTTAATAGATTTCAATAAGTTAAACCCGAGAGTGAGAATAAAAAGCAGTGTTCCTTTTGTTTATAAAGAATTATGCCTGGAAAATCCCACGGACAGAAGAGCCTGATAGGCTACTGTCCATAGGGTCACAAAGAGTCAGACATGACTCAGCGACTTCACTTCATGTCTTAAGTCCAGGTGAAACTGTCAGCAACTTAAAAGTAAGATTGGCCTTATGCTAAAGAGAAATATCTTGTAAGCAGTCGGATTTGTGAGTTTTAATTGGAAAGTTTACTTTCATGCTTCTTAAAACATGCTCATTTATTCCTCACATATTATTTTCTTCAGTGGGATTGCTCACTGGAAGCTAAATGTATGTGGGACCATAGCTATAATGAGAGTTACTGGAAAGAAAATTCTGGTTGAAAATGCACAGAATATAACATGACTGTTATGAGAGTATTAGGGTATAGAATTGTCTGATAGACTTTGTTGATTTCAATCCAAAATATTATATGTGTTCTCTCTAATAATAACATCTTTAAATGAAGGATTACTAGTAGGATAAACTAGGATAAAGTTTAAAAATAAGTTCGTGTACTATTGCTTGAAAATATTTTGCTTTATTATTAATAATCAGATTAAACAATTGATATTAATTTAGATGCTTATTAAAAATCATTTTTTCAGAGAGCTATTGTGTACAGAACTTGCCTTAATAACTACATTTTATAAGTTTTAACTACCTTACATAATAGAAATGAAAAAAAAAATTGTGCAAGTTTGGGACTGTATATCTTCTCTTAAAATGTGTTTCTGACTGATTAAAATGGAGTAAAATGTATAAATTGAACATTTCAGTGTTTAGATTTTATATGGAGGATAAAATCCGTTGAGGTCTTCTTTGATCTTATCTACCACAGAGACTTTTATTCACAGTTCTGAGATTCTTTTATATTTGTCTTATGTGCCTAATAGTTTTGTTTTCACCAAAATAAAAATAGAATGTTAAATACAGTAATGTCTAATTTGACTTCTAAATTTTTTAAATTGTCAGTAATTTTAAGTTGATTTTTATTTTACTTATTTGATTTTGCTTACTTTTAATACTTTGTAACAAATTTTGGTAATAGGCCTATATGGATATCTGTAAGCTTCTTGGAGCATTGTGTCCCATGGTGTAAGTTTTTACCCATGTATAAATCATCCTCACTTTGAAAGAATATGTCTTAAAGGTGAGACTCATAAGAATGCCTAAAGCAATTTAGATCATGCTTGATGTAAGTTTGAAGTGACACTGTCCATATCTAACCTGGAGTCCTGAGACACTGACCAGGTTACATAGGGACAAAAAGGATAAGTCTTTACTTTTGTCTTATTTCATGTTTTAATATGGAAATATTCTGGAGGGCTAGGTACTTTAAAGTACCTAGTCATCTAGTTAGTACAATTTATGTTTTGATATTGTGTTGGTTTGCTAGGATTGCCATAACAAAATACCATCGAGTGGCTGGCTTGAATAATAGAAGTTTTTTTCCCCATAGTTCTGGAGTCTGGAAATCTAAGCTTGAAGGAGTGGCAGGTTTGATTTCCTCTAAGGCCTCTTTCCTTGGCTTGTGGATAGCCACCTTCTTGCTGTGCCCTCACATCGTCATCTCTCAAGCTGTGTGGCCTGTTTTTTCTCTTATAAGGAAACCAGTCATATTAGATAAACACCCTCCCATGTGACCTCATTTTACCTAATTACCTCCTTAAAAGCCCTATCAAGTACATTTTGAGGTACTCTATAAGGGAAGGTTAGGACTTTAGCATATGAATTTTGCCAGGACACAATTCAGCCCATAACAGGTATCAAATTGCTAACGTGATTTTCCAAGAAACAGAGTATTTTCTACTTAATGTTTTTTATGCCTATTTAAAAAAAAAAACCTGGTTAGATTTGAATCTCTTAAAGATCTACATCCATCTGTTTTGTTTTTATCCAATGAATTTAAACTTTTTCAGGTAAATTCTTAGGTATACCTCTGAGATGTACATGGTTCATTCAGAAATTAGAGGGCTCATGTGCATTTTCTGTAGCTTCATTTTTATGCACATTGGACACATTTTCTCAAGGAACTCAACTTTACATAGATAGATAATAAGACACATAGTGACATAAAACTGCCTTCCAGTGAATGATATATACATTGGTTATTTCTATTTAATTTGTAGCTTTTTATGCAATCTAGATTGAATAGTACACTAATTAATATTTGTAATTTTTTTTACCACTTAATTGTTGAAAGCATACTTTTGACATATACTGTGTTCTCTTCCAGCTTTGCAGTAATAACAAAGAATAATAGTTTTTAAACTACTTTGACTTTATATATAATCTATTGTCAGTCTAGTTCTAAGTCTTTTAAAAATGTTAACTCATTACTTGTTTTAAGCCTATGAGAGAAGTACTATTATTATATCTATTTGATAGTTAAGAAAACTGAGTAAGTTAATTGTTGAAGGTAACAAAGCTATGAAAGAGGCAGAGCTGAGATTAGAACTCAGTCAATAGGTCTCCAGAGTCCATGCTTTTATTCAGAAATTTTAAAAAGAATTTAATAAACGTAAACAGATAAACTCTAACCAAGATAGATTATTACCATTATGGCATCTTTGAAATATGTCTTTTACTCCAGATTTTGTAGCTGCAGATAAATATTATGTTGTAGGAAATGGAAAAGGGTCAAGGGACCTAGGTTTCAATCATTTTTCATCCAGTAACTTCTTGTGGGACCTGATTGAGGAAATTACTTAGCTTTTCCAGAGGTCTAGAGCAGGGACAACTTTGTACCCACTTCAAAAGGATTTCTGAGGATTAAAATAGCTGTGAGATTTAGAGTCTGACAAAAGTATCTGTCAAGCTGGCATTGTTTTATTTATTATAATTCTATAATCCCTCAATTATCCAAAAGTCACAATTATTGCATTTTTTTCACCCACCTAAAATAACAAGCATAAATTAAAAAACATAAAAGAATCAGTTATCTTAAAATCTACTTAGTTTATTCTGTTGAAGATTTTTTCACTCTTCATTTACTACCTATTGTTTTTTATTTTAAATACAGCTGTAACGAGTTTATTTGTTTACTTTCTCAGCAGAAAACACCTCAAAGGCAGCAAATTAGAGTATGCATACTAAGGGACAGGATGATTGTTTGTAGGCAGAAATATTAAGAGAAGAAAGAAATTATGATCAACAGATTGACAGATAAAGAAAATATAAAAGTTCTAAGGTCAAAATACAAAACTAGAAAAACAGCAGCCTGGGACCATTCAGAGCAAGGCTGAGTAGCCATTTATATCATGATGTATTTTAAAGGCATCACTATATAATGATACAGTAGTAATAAATTAGACATTGTAATATACCAATTAATGTAGTGATACTATTTATAACATAATATAATTATATTAAAGTATCACTGTTGCTTAATGTGGGAGCTTCCCTAGTGGCTCAGCTGGTAAAGATAATCTGCCTGCAATGTGGGAGACCTGGGTTCAATCCCTGGGTTGGGAAGATTCCTTGAAGAAGGGAATGATCTACACACTCTAGTATTCTGGCCTGGAGAATTCCATGGACTGTATAGTCCATGGGATCACAAAGAGTCAGACACAACTGAGTGACGTTCACTTTCACTTTCATTGGTTAATGTAATCTTGAATTATTATTTCTAAATGAATGGTCATTCCAGAAAGAATTTAAGATTAGGTTATTATTTTTATTGTATTATTAATTTAATAGTTTTTAAATTTAATACATGAATAGATGTCTGTCAACACTATCTTATAGGTAAAAATCCAAAGTATCAAACCACTAAATAATATCTTAGGGTACATGTTTTCCTGGAACTTGAGTCAAAATTGAAAGCTAGGGATCCCTGACCCTCTAGTTACTACCTCTGGCCCCTAAGCTGTGCAAACAACAAATTCCACAATGCTGTTCTGGTTTGAAAAACTAATAATTATATATAAATACTTCCCGGGTTGCTCAGTGGTAAAGAATCCACCTGCCAGTGCAATTATTAGTAAATCCGGAATTAGTTTTAAGTGATCTTATTAAACCATAAAAATACTTAGTAATACACATTTAAATTTTGCAAAATCTATATTTCCTGTAAATATATTTTTGCAATATCTTTGCAATTATTATATGAGTGTGTTCTATGATTTTGACATGTTATATAAAAATTTTAGTGTGCCCTGATATTTCGTCCATGGGATTTTCCAGGCAAGAGTACTGGAGTGGGTGGCCATTGCCTTCTCCGGATATTTCTATTAGAACATACAAAATGAAACATTTTCAAGTGTTTAAATGTTCATTTTAATTATAACCATAATTTTTGCATTTTTATTACTCTTCATGAGAATGGCATTTATATTTATGCTGCCTTAGAACAAGATTGGAAGAAATATTTAAATTTATATGTATTTTTAATCTAGAATGCAACTAATGAACTCACTAAACAATCATCAAACTTGAAGTCTCTGAAATTTGAACTTCTAGCAAAAGAAGAACACATAAAGGAAATGCATGAAAAGTAGGTGCTTTATATTTTTATCCATTGTATTTGGTGCCACCTAGTGGCAATTAACTCTATTAAACACTTCACCCCAAGAAACAATACCAACATGTTAAAATTGTTTTCCTTTCTTAGTTTATGTTTGAACCTAAATAAGATGAAAGTTTAAAGAATATTACATATAGCATAGTTGATGGCAAAATAGTTACTACGTTACTACTTTTATTAATTAGAGTAGTAAAAATGTTTAAAGTTAGATTTTCCTTCTTAAATGTTTTAATTTTGAATAAATATCAGTTAATGGCCTAAACACTATGAACAGAAAACTTTAGAATGTAGGAATTATTTGACTAAAAATATGTATATAAAAATATGTACATATATACATATGTATATATATTGATTTATATTGGAGTTATTACCTAAGCTTGTAAAGCAAAGATGGAAAAAAGGGAAGTTTTGTTTGTATTTAAAATAGCTGAAGAATTATGAGATATTGTACTTTGTGTATTTATACTAAAAAAGAAGTTTAAAGTGTTCTATCTCACAGAATCAAAATTGTTTCCTTTCTGTATCTTTTATAGGTATCTAGAGCTTAGAAGTGATGTGTTAAGAAAGAAGTCTAGTCATTCATAATTAGAGATCACTTACTTAAAAGTGATCCTAGTAGATAAGGAATTTTCCTGGTGGCTCAAATGGTAAAGCATCGGCCTGTAGTGTGGGACCCGGTGATTTGCAGACCCGGGTTCATTCCTTGGGTCGGGAAAATCCCTTGGAAAAGGAAATGGCAACCCACTCCAGTATTCTTGCTTGGAAAATCCCCAGGGACAGAGGAGCCTGGTTGGGCTACACTCCTTGGGGTCCCAAAGAGCGGGACAGGACTGAGCAAATTCACTTTCACTTTAGTAGATAAAACTGTTAGATAAGAAAAATTGGTTAATTCTTTTTAAGCAGAATATCTTGAAGCTTATTGATAGATTGAGTTAGTCTTACTGTTTACCAATGAGGACTTTAGATAACATTCTTTGAATCCTGTCTTCTTTACCTGCCAGCTCTGGATCTATTTTAAATTTTGTTCATTTTAACTTCAATAATCATTTGAAGTATACAATGTTTGTATAAGAAGTCATTTATCTTTAATAGTATTAAACTGAAAAAATGTTTTCTTCTGCTATTTTTTAGCATTTTTAAAAAAAATGTATTTATTTTTACTTAAAGGATAATTGCCTTACAGTATTGGTTTGGTTTCTGCCATGCCTCAACATGAATTAGCCATAGGTGTACATATGTCCACTCCCTCGTGAACCTGCCTCCCAGCTCCCACCCTTTCCCGCCCCCTAGGTTGTTACAGAGCCCCAGTTTGAGTTCCCTGAGTCATATAGCAGATTCCCACTGGCTATCTGTTTTACAGATGGTACTGTATATGCTTCCATGCCACTGTCTCCATTCATCCCACTCTCTCCTTCCTCCTCCTGGCCATGTCCACAAGTCTGTTCTCCATGTCTGCATCTCCACTGCTGCCCTGCAAATAGGTTCATCAGTACCATCTTTCTAGATTTCATATACATATGTTAATATACTATTTGTTTTTCTGTTTCTCACTTAACTTCACTCTGTATAATGGGCTTTAGGTTCATCCACATTATTATAACTGACTCAGATGCATTTTTTTTATGGCTGAGTAGTATTCCACTGTATACATTACCACAGCTTATTTATCTGTTCATATGTCAATGGACATCTAGGTTGCTTCCGTATCCTAGCTATTGTAAATAGTGCTGCAGTAAACACTGTGGTATATGGATCTTTTTCAGTTTTGGTTTCCTCAGTGTGTGTGCCTAGAAGTGGTATTGCTGGGTCATATGGTAGTTTATTCCTAGTCTTTTAAGGAATCTCCATACTGTCTTCCATAGTGAGTGTATCAATTTATATTCCCAATGACAGTGAAAGAGGGTTCCCTTTTCTCCACACCCTCTCCAGCGCTTACTGTTTCTGAAGTTTTTGATGATGGCCATTCTGACCAGTGTGAGGTGATATCTCATTGTAGTTGTAGTTTTGATTTACATTTCTCTAATAATGAATCATGTTGAGAATCTTTTCATATATTTATTAGCTATTGGTTTGTCTCCTTTGGAGTCTTCTGCCATTCTTTGAAATGCACAATAAATGTGTTGTATTACTTATTTAATTTTATCCTAAAAAGTACTTGTTATATTGGAGAATACAAATTAAAGTTTTCTATGACTTGGCTTATTAAAGAATCAAAACCAACCATCTCTTGCTTAAGGAAGTTCAGGTGAGTAATTAAAGGAAATGTAGTTAAAAATAATCTTGTATTATTAGGTAGGAGTCTACACATAGCAATATTCATGCTTTTTTGCACAGTTTTTGGGTGTTGTTACTGACTTAAGTATTGTTAGTCTCACTCACTACTGACTTCAGTATGGTTAGTTAGTACTCACAGTGCTGTGTGAGTTACACAAATCTTATACTTGAATTTGATATCATTTATGAGAAAATGAATGAAATGACTTATTCATGCATTCATTTGGTTTCTGTTTAAACAAATACAGCGTAGAACTAGACTGCCTTTGCCAATAATATTTACCTTTGTGCTTTTTTAAAATTTTTATTTATATTTTTAATTGAAGGATAATTGCTTTACAGAATTTTGTTGTTTTCTGTCAAACTTCAACCTTAACATGAATCAGCCATAGGTATACATATATATATATGTGTGTGTGTGTGTATATATATATATATATATATCTCACCTCCCTTTGAACCTCCCTCCCATCTCCCTCCCCATCCCACCCCTCTAGGTTGATACAGTGCCCCTGTTTGGGTTTCCTGAGACATACAGCAAATTCCCATTGGCTATCTATTTTACATATGGTAATGTAAGTTTCCATGTTACTGTCTCCATACATCTCTACCTTTGTGCATTTATTGTAGGTGAGGACATTAACTGAGGAATGTTCCAACAAGAAAGTATCAATTGATTCACTAAAGCAAAGACTTAGTGTTGCTGTAAAAGAGAAGTCTCAGTATGAAGAGATGTATCAGCAAACTAAAGAGGAGTTAGAAAAAAAGGTATGATTTAGGACATTTTAGCTTAGAGATGGACTGTAACAATCTCTTTCTTATTTTTAAAGTTGTCGTTTTTTTCTCCCCAAAACTACTATGAGTTACTTAAATGTTTCAGATAACTTCAAAGAACATTTATATCTCTACATAAAACACAAAGAATTTATTTACTATTAAAGGTCATGCTGTATTAGAGAAACAGATTTTGTTTATCTTGATAATTTATAATAAATGAAAACTGTTGTTAAGAACTGGTATTTATATAAGTAGATATAAAGTTTTCATTCCAATCCCAAAGAAAGGCAATGCCAAAGAATGCTCAAATTACCGCACAATTGCACTCATCTCACACCCTAGTAAAGTAATACTCAAAATTCTCCAAGCCAGGTTTCAGCAATACGTGAACCGAGAACTTTCAGATGTTCAAGCTGGATTTAGAAAAGGCAGAGGAACCAGAGATCAAATTGCCAAGATCCGCTGGATCATCAAAAAAGCAAGAGAGTTCCAGAAAAACATCTATTTCTGCTTCACTGACTACGCCAAAGCCTTCAATTGTGTGGATCACAATAAACTGTGGAAAATTCTGAAAGAGATGGGAATATCAGACCACCTGACCTGCCTCTTGAGAANTGGAGAAGACTCTTGTGAGTCCCTTGGACTACAAGGAGATCCAACCAGTCCATCCTGAAGGAGATCAGTCCTGGGTGTTCATTGGAACGACTGATGCTGAAATTCTAATACTTCAGCCACCTCATGTGAAGAGTTGACTCATTGGAAAAGACCCTCATGCTGGGAGGGATTGGGGGCAGGAGGAGAAGCGGATGACAGAGGATGAGATGGCTGGATGGCATCACCGACTTGATGAACTTGAGTTTGAGTAAACTCCGGGAGTTGGTGATGGACTGGGGGGCTTGGCTTGGTGCTGTGATTCATGGGGCTGCAAAGAGTCGGACATGACTGAGCCACTGAACCAAACTGATAAAGTTTTAGGTCTACCTAAACTTATAAACTAATTAAATACTTCCATTTGATATAGGAAATCTTTTAGTCCAAAATCCCTTCCATGTCTTTATAATGATTTATAATTTTTAAAAGAATAAATTGATTTCAGTGATAAATATGTGATAATATGTGCTCATGGTAGTCACTGAAAATAAAGTGTTACTCAAATGAAAATAAATACAAGATATAAAGAGTAATAAAACCCTTTCTTTATCTTACACCTCTAACTTCCAAATCTGTTTAAGAAATATATTTTTATTGTGTGCTTACTGGTCTTTTGCAGGATCTCAAGCTTAATTTCCTCCTATCAAAAATAAACGAGACTGAATCTGCCATGGCAGAGATTGAAACAGCAGCCTCTGAGCGTCTTCAAGGATTAGCAATGCAAAGTGAGCAGGCCCTAGAAGGTGCACAGAAGAAATTGCTACTAGCCAGTGAAAAAGTAGAAGAGTTCACCATATTTGTAAAGGTTTGAATTCTTTGCACTTTACCACCTGGTGCTTTACTTCAGGCACAGTGGGCAGTGGCCTATTTCACATGATCTGGGGTGTTCTTGAAGTTCCTTTCTGCTTTCCCAAACCACAAAGCATCTTCCCATACCCTACCCACCACACTATTCAAATTTTCTCTATGAAAGATTCATTTTCATAGCTTGAGTTTAAAAATGTCCACTATGTTTTTAATATTCTTTTTCCAGTGTCAATTTAGTTATGAAACTGTGATAATCACATAAGCAAGACAGGTTTTAAGACCAAAGAATTGAGTTATTTCCATGTCACTTCCTTTTAAAAATCATCCAAGCAAAAACAACCAGAAGCTTGGTCCATGATCATTGACGTTAAGAGACATTGCACCCCAGCCCCATAATATATCAGGCATGGAATGGGTAAAGGAATGGTAAATGACCTGGCAGGACAAAAGGAAGACAAACTAGAGTATCTACAAAGGGTGTATCATCTAGAAGTTATTTGACTGCTGAAGAATCCCAGAAAGGCTTAGGCATTGGCTGTACAAGGATCCACCAAAGCTAAGGGTGGTGGGGAAAGGGAGAATACAGGTTTTGTTTGAGAGTCTTTATAAGGAGTGTTTAGATCTCTTGTCTGTACTTCTGCCTCCACGTGGTCAGCCAGTATTCCTCCCTTAACTATTCTGGGAAAATGGAGGAACAGTTTGGTTTTAGAGATAACAAGGCACTGAAGCCTGGGAACCTGGGGATTGCTCCACCCTTTTTAACACCCCTATGAATTGTTTACACCCCTATTTAGTGTCTTTTATTCTGCCTTGTATTGTAGCTAGCAAACAGGTCTGTTACCATTATGTCATCTCCTTTGTGGGAGATGTGAATTTGACCCATGAGTCAGGATGATCCCCTGGAGAAGGAAATGGCAACCCCCTCCAGAATTCTTGCCTGGGAAATCCCATGGAAACAGGACTAGGGCCTGGTGGGCCACAGTTCACTGGGTCACAGAGTCAGACACGACTTAGCAGCAAAACAACAAAAACAACTGGCACATAATAGAGCTCACTAAATTCTTGAGAAATTGACTTTATATCTGCTTCAAGAATAGTACTGGACACGTAATCACTGCTCTGATTGAAACCTCTGTGAAGGCAAGAGCTATGAACACTCCTAATGAGCATAGTTAAAGAATGTACATAGTTCCTACATGGAACATTATGATCAATGGGACTCATTCTGTGCAGAACTTAGTAGGGTATCAGGTACACAAAAGTACTTAATAAATATTATTAGTAGTATTAATAGTAATAATGTTTGTTCTGGCCCTGCTGTGAAATCTGTGTTCCCTTTAGTTTTTTTTCCCTTTATGCATAGGGCACAACCAGATTATGGCAGAGGTGGGGTGGCCATCTGTTCTAGATCTAGTCTTGAATATAGAATTTTACCCTGGAGTAAAATCAAGTGCTTTGAGCATCTGGGCTGGATGTATGTGGCAGAGCTGAAGCTTTGAATTCTCCTAATAACTGAATAAAACACACAAGGGAAATTTCTAGAAGTATTTGCTCAGTTTGACTGAGGCCTGATAATAGGCTTGTTAACGTGCTTGTATGTGAGAATCGTATGGTCAATTCCATCTTCTCGGTGGCTTTTGTTAGCTGATAAATAAATACCAGCCAAAGAACAACATTTATCCGGAAGCTTAAATCATTTAATTATCAATATGTACTTGCTTGTTAAGATTTAGTAAGATGATTAGGGCATATAAATTTCTTGATTCTTTAGTAAGAATATTTGTAAAGCATTATAATTTTATTTTTAATGTGTACGCTGTTAACACTTTGGTACTGATCTACTCTTAATTATGATTTTTCTATTCTTTTTTTCAACTTTATTAGATATGACATATAACATTTTATAAGATTAAGATAAACAATATGATGACTTGATACTTGTATATATTATGAAAAGTTTACTACAATAGGTTAGTTAACACATCCTTAACCTCACATAATTGCCACTTTATTGTTATTGTTATGGGAAGGACATTTAAAATCTAGTCATAGCAAATTCCAAGTATAAAATTGAGTATTGTTAACTATAATCACCATGTTATACATTAAATCCCTGGAACTTATTCTTCTTATGATTGGAAATTTGTACCATTTGACCAACATCTCATTTCCTCCTCCCCTCAGCCCCTGGCAACCACTTTTCTACTGTCTGAGTTTGCCTTTTAAAAATTCCATATATATAAGCGATATCATCCAGTATTTGTATTTTTCTGTCTGATTTATTTCACTTAGCATAGTACTCTCAGGGGCTATCCATATTGTCAGAAATGTCTGGATTTCCTTCTTTTTATGGCTCAGTCATCATATTCCATTGTGAGTGTGTGTGATTAAACACACACACACACATATTTACTACATTTTCCTTACTCATTAATATAGTGATGGACACAAGTTATTTCCATGTCTTGATTAGTGCAAATAGTGCTGCAGTGACCATGAGAGTGCATGTATCTCTTGGAGATTCTGTTTTTATTTCCTTTCAGTATGTACTCAGAAATTGCATTGCTGGTAGTTGTTATTTTTAATTTTTCAAGGAACCTCTACACTGTTTTCTATAGTGGCTGTACCAATTTACAGTCTGACCCACAGTGCACAATGTTTCCCTTTTCTCAACATCTTACCAGCATTTGTTCTCTCTCATCTATTTGATAATAGCCATTCCAACAGGTGTGAGCTGATACCTTGTGGTTTTGATTTGCATTTCTCTGATGATCAGTAAGGTTGAGCACCTTCTCATGAACTTGCTGGCCATTGTATATATTCTTTGGAAAAATATTTGTTCAGATTCTATTTCCATTTCTAAATTGGATGTTTTGGTTTTTGTTATCAAGTTGTATGAGTTATATATAACTTAAAGTTAGGAAGTATGATGCCTCCACCTTGGCACTTTCCTAGGATTGCTTTGGCTAGTCAGTCTTTTATAGTTAAATTTAGGGGATTTTTTTCTATTTTTCTGAAAAAATGGCATTGGAACTTTGATAGAGGTCTTATTGAACCTCTCGATGTCTTTGGGTAGAATGAACATTTTAAGAATATCCACTCTTTCAATCAGTAAGCGCAGGATATCATTTATTTATGTCTTCTTTAGTTTCCTTCATCAATGTCTTAGAGTTTTGAGTGTATAGATTTTCCACTTCCTTAGTTAAATTTATCCCTAAAATTTTATTGTTGGATGCTACTGTAAGTGGGATTGTTTTATTCCTTTTTCACATTTTATTGTTAGTGTATAGAGACACAACAAATTAATTTTTATCTGTGACTTTGTATCCTACAACTTTACTGACTTTGTTCATTAATTTTAACAGCTTTTTTTGATGGAGTTCTTAGGATTTTCTAGATAAAAGATCATGTCATAAACAAAAAGAGACCGTGTTACTTCTTTCTTTCTGATTTGGATGCTTTTTATTTCTTTTTACTGCCTAATTGCTCCAGCTAAGACTTCCAGTTCTGTGTTGAATAGGAGTGGTGAGGGTGGTCACCTTTATCTTGTTTCTGATATTGGATGGAAAGCTTTCAGCTTTTCATTGTTGAGTGTGATGTTAGTTTGGTTTTGTATTATATGGCTTTTGTTATGTACAGTATGTTCCTTCTATACCCAGTTTGTGGGGAGTTTATCATGAAAGAATGTTAAATTTTGTCCAGTACTTTTTCTGCATTTATTGAGATGATTGTATGATTTTTATCTTCATTCTTTTAATGTAGTATATTTACATTTATTGATTTGTGTATGTTTTCTTATTCTTGCATTCCAGGGATAAATCCCACTTGACCATGGTGTGTGGTTCTTTTAATGTGTTGTTAAATTCAGTTTGTTAGTATTTTGTTCAGAGGTTTTACATCTATATTCATCAGGGGTATTGGCCTATAGGTTTCTTTTCTTGTAGTGTCCTTATCTGTCTTTGGTGTTAGGTTAATGCTGACCTCTTAAAATGAGTTTGAAAATGTTCTTTCCTTTTACATTCTTTGGAAGAGCTTTAGAAGAATTGACATTATTTGCCTTAGGTAGAATTCACCAGTGAAGCCATCAGGTCATGGGCTTTTCTTTATTGGAAAGTGTTTGATTGCTGATTCAATCTCCTTATTCATTGATCTGTTCAAATTTTCTGTTACTTTGTGATTCAGTCTTGGTAGATTGTATATTCTAGGAATTTATCCATTTCTTCTAGGTTGTCCAATTTGTTGGCATATAATTGTTCATAGTATCCTCTCATGATTCTTTGTATTTCTGTAATGTCAGTTGTAATATCTTCTCTTTCGTTTCTAATTTTCTTTTTTAAAATTTATTTTTTTTAATGGAATAATTGCTTTACAGAATTTTGTTGTTTTCTGTCAAACCTCAACATGAATCAGCCATAGGTATACATATATCCCCTCCCTTTTGAACCTTCCTCCCATCTTCCTCCCCATCCCACCCCTCTAGATTAATTTTCTTAATTTGAGTACTCTCTTTTTCTTGGTGACTATAGACAGAAATTTATCCATTTCGTTTGTCTCTTTTAAAAACTCGCTCTTAGTCTCACTGATCTTTTCTGTTCTTTTTGTCTCTATTTATTCCCACTCTGCTCTTCGTTATCACCTTCCTCTACTAACTTTGGGTTTACTTTGTTCTTTTTCTGGTTCATTGAATTACAAAGTTAGATTGTTTTGAGTTTAGTTTGTTTGTTTGTTTGCTTAATGGTCCCACTAACAGTGGAGGCCAGTGACAGGAGTTGGGTGATGGTGTACAGGTGCTCAGGTGGAGAGGCTCACTACAGCTGAGCCCAGCGGTGCAAGCCAGTGAGAGGAGACAGGGCCAGGTCTGGGCCCACACACAACCGTGGGGGCCTTGACGGTTGACATGCAGTCTTGTGGCCATAGAGTCTCACCACAGGCACTCGCAGATCATTAGAGGCCAGTGGCAGACCACCAGCAAGAGGTCCACAGTTGAAGAGGTTAGCT